GTTATCAGATTTTTTACCTTATCTAATTTTTTAAATGATCTCTGTACTTCTAATCAAAATTTTAAGAAACTTGCACAGCATGAAGTCAAAATTAAATTGAAAAAAAAAATCATACACAAACACATGTACGGTGAATTTGTTTCGCTTTTACTATTGGTTCACCGAGACTTCAATGATGGTGTTCCATATTTTCAATATCCGATTTCCTGACTGCGCCGGGTATCCCTATCATTGACAAATCTATATACCATTGAGGAGAAGAAATTTGAAATTTATTAAATATTTCTTGCTTTTATGAATTAGAATTGTTTGTCAAACGTTTATGCAATTTTTCACAACAATACGTCTCTTGACAGTGTAAGAAAAAATTTTGAAAGAAAAAAGATAAAGCCTATTGTATTTATTATTTTTTTAAAAATGCAAAAATTCGCGACATCTCAGAAAAACTGAAAAATTTTACTGTCTACTATTGATTAATATTTTTATGGGGACAAAAATTTAATAATAGAAAGGATTTTGGCAAAGGGTATGGGCTGCTCGAGGTAGTATAGGAGTGAATCCCATTTTTACACTACATCTGTTTCTATAAGCAACTATGCAAGTCTTCCCTGTCATGTAAAAGTCGCACGAGGCATCTTGACTACCTATGACTGCACTTGATGTAAAGGGGCCCACTGGAGACAGTCGAGCGTCTGTGCATGTTATGTAAGTTAATAAAGCATTCAAATTATTTTTCGAAAAATTCAGAATTAAAAAAAAAATGTTTATTTATTAACCAAAGTCGCTGATAAACCGTAACTATTGGAAGAAGATTAAAAAGGTGTGTAAGGCAAAGACGTGCACCACCACAACGTTATCAAGTAACTTTTATTGATAGCAAAATGCTCCTTATTAAAATTATCTTCTAGAATAACAGGACCCCGGAGTTAAAAAAAAAATTCATAGACCAAATAATATAGTTGAAAAACATCTATTATGCCACAAAGTGTTCTCAATTCTCATTGTCCGGTGTCGCATAATATTTGATCCGCCTCGTTAAAGGTTCGGTCGGACCTAATATGATAACATAGTAGGTTCGCCTTTTATAAGAAAAGGTCCCCCCCACGTTTTAAGGTCCGGGTGGTGCAAAATGATTTAATCTTGACTTTAACATATGAAATTAAAGCGAGTTAGTTTATACTGTTTGATACGAAGGAATCTCCCTGTTGTATTTAATTTTTTGTACAACATTCATGTATCTTAATCATCTTATCATGTAGCTTAAAAACTAGAGAAAGAGACAGGGCGGACCTTAGACCGCAGTTATCAGAAAAGGTCCGCCCTCTGTATTTCAGATATCTTTATGTTATTTAGGGAAATTTTTGGACAGGGTTTATTTTTGTAGGTAAAAAAAGAGAAAGAGACGGGGTGGACCTTAAAACGTATTTATCAGAAAAAGCCCGCCCTCTGTATTTCAGATATCTTTATATTATTTAGGGAATTAGATCGACGGCTGTATGTAAATTTCGGCTATAATATGTATAACAGTGCTGACTCTACCTCTCGTAATATTATTACAAGGAAATTGAAATTGACATATACTCATCAAAGTTCAAGATTTTGTTTCGTGGAATTACTGACAAATCCTTCAATTTGTACATTATTCTTTTTTATTATTAATAGTTTAGCAGCAAGCTAGCACAAAATTATTTTGCTTGTATTACGAAGGGCAGACGTGATTATGATATTCCATGTTTTCACAGTGATGTGGATCCCGAAAAGAAGGGTGGGGTCCATTCTTTCAGTTTGTTAATTAAAACGAAGATAATGTACAGCTTTAAAACGAAAACAAGCGATTGAAAGGGGGTGAAATTGGAGATAATAGATATAGACCTCTGTTAATGCATGAAATTTAATGATATCGAATAAAGTTTAAGTGATTGATCTTGAAAAAAATCAATTACTATCTAAAATAATTACAGTCTTTATGACGTCACAATTGACGTATATGTATTACTTTTAACGTCATGTTCAAAGACTGACGAAGAGAAATGTATTTTGTATGTTTTTTGAGCTTTGAATTCAGATAATATAAATCGAAGATCATGCCTCTTCTGAAATTTCGTTTCAAACAAACTCCTGACTATTTTTTTTAATTTATTGTGCGTAATTTTTTATACAACTATTGTTATATAAACCAGATATTACCGAGTGTTTAACAAAACTGGTGAATCTTTGCAACATCAAAATTTAAATGTAAAGGCATATTTCATATTGGCCATAGGTATGAACAACGGTAATATTAAGCGTGTAGGTTCATATCAGCAATATTTATATATATGGTAAGTGTGAAAGTTGTTCTTGACTCTCGCCACACTTACTGTAAAGCGGAAAGCAGCCTCCGCTAAATCAAGTACATCGCTAAATGCTTTGTGCATAAAGGTTTATGTAGAGCACATTCGAAAAGCGCTAAATCAAATCTACGCCAACTTCTTGAAAATTCAATTTCCGCCAAATATCGTACACGCCAAATATAATACATTTACAGTAATTTCGGAAAAATCTGTCGATAAATTGGCTTTTTTGAGCGTTTTTATGAAACCGTCGCATCTTGAAACCATCGCACGTGCCTAACAGCGCATTATTCAATAAAATGAGTTACGTAAGGATAAGAAGTATGTTGTCCTATAATAATTAACGTATAATACCGGCCGTGAATAGAAACTCGATTTTTGTGAAAAACACAGGGCCAAGTATGATGGTTCGTGGCTTTACCTCTTTCATCTATTCAGAAACCAGAGAAGAAACTTAAGAAAAAAATATTGTTATGTGTCGTAATTTGACTATTTTTTCATAACTTGAAAGTATTCAGAAAACATAATGATGAATTAGTCTTGTGCAGCAAAGTGTACTCGTCGCCTGCATGCGGAGTTTGTGTCTCGATTTGCTCTGCGTGTGTGCAGATTCTGGAATGAGGTGAATTGTTGATAAATGGGTTGACGGGTTGAGAGTTTTGGCGTTCTCGTTTAAGGTCATCGTTTTGTGAATTCTGTGTGTTTATAAAACCGTTCAAACAAATAAAAAAGTTAATGAGAAAAGTAATTGTCTTTATGTTGTTTAACATCCTACGCGAGAATTTTTCACTTATATAGAGACGCCATCACTTATATAGAGAGCTGCAGATTTTGACCTATACTCAGCAGTTACAACCATTGAGCAGGCAGAGATTTTTACCTGCTAGCACCTTCTCCAACAAGAAACCTTGGTTTTTACGGTTTCATCTGAAGAACGAATCTTTATGTTCCTCAGCGACTAAAGTATCGACTCCTTACATTGCTACTTTTTAACAGACATTGTTAACACTGCTTCACTGGGACAACAATTAGAAAATTATGTTGTAGTTATGTGTTGTTTTATTTAATACATTATGTGGAATAAAATTAAAGATATATCCTTGGGTAATGAATACTTATTGCTGACATATTTATTACTCTAAATTAATTTTCAGTATCTGTAAAGTACAAATAAAAATGTTTAAAAGATTATTTTCCAACGTGGTGATTTTATTTCCTCTAAGATTCCAGGGAAATGTTCAGTGAATTAAAATTGCCATCAACGATATTTAACATTTTCTTTTCAAATATCACCTTAATCATACAGAAAAGTAAGTAATGCTCACACCAGTCATTACTGATCAATAAATATGACTGACAACGGTCCTGAGCAGTGAAGACGAGATGCTTACTGCTCTTAGGTACGTAATTCTACCTGCAATATTTGCAGAGTGCAGCTTTATGTTGATTTTTTTTTACACAATTTGTTTCGTTCTCTAGACGTTTGTTTACTCAATTATTACTAAATTATTATGGTTACAAAGATTCTAAATAAACGAATTTTTTATGGATTGTACCAAAAACAGTAAAAAAAAAATTAAAAACGGCCTTTTAAAAATACAATGCTTTGAAAAGTTGCTAAGGTGTTTACTATAAATCTGCATGAATCATCACTTTGAAAAATATTTAAGTTATTTAAATTAAGTTAAGTTAATTCAATAGACTGGCCTGCCTGTCTGATATCCGATATACCTATATTCCTGCGTACGGTAAAGACAGGCAATGCCAGTCTAGTTAATTCAATTCAGTTAAAATCACTATAACACTTTAAATATAGAAAATAACGTCAGCATTCTTAAAAGTAAATCGGTATTGAATGTGACAATGCCGACTCTCATAGATACATACTTGATTGAAGTAGTAACAGCACCGGATTTTGTTGGGGGATTATCTGATGCAATCAAGAGATTTTGCAAATTTGGATTTTTTTGTTAAAAATAAAGTTATATGGGCTTTCAGGAAATTGTACCATTCTCCACAATTGTTAAACTAATCTCCATGAAAAATGAAATAAAATAAAATTTTATTTACTTTCTATGTGACACGAGTTTCATAATAACGAGAAGCATTTACAAAAATAGCAAGCTGAGATATTTTTATATGTTTTCTATTCCATTGTAACATTACCAATCGTATAACCCTTCTAAGAGTTAGTCCATTCAGTACCCAGTAACATTAATACAGAATTTTATAAACAAGCTTTTAGATTATATTCTCAAATTTCATAGCCAGAAATGACTAGCAGTATCAGTGTATCAGGAAAAATATTGAACGCGACCATATATACCGTTGACAAATTCTAATCATTAATCATTTTTTATAATCTCTTTTTTTTTATTTCTCTTAATATCCAATAAAAATATTTTGAAATTAGTTTTATTGCTTAATATAGACCTTAACAAAATTAATACAAACTAATGTGATGTTTATTATACTTTCACTTACTAGGAGCTCATATTTTCGTAATTTTGTAAATCACAATATCAATATTATGTTAAATTAAACTGATGGCTATCATAGATAAACATAACTTTGAACTTTGAACATCAAAAATAAATGAAAAGTTATGCGCAAGAATTCATCTACATCTTTTGTTCTACTTAAGAATGCTTTGAAACAGTTACTTACAATTCACATGTATCTGTTGGGATGTTGGTAGGTACTTCAGTTAACCCTTTACCACCACAGCTTACATATGTCCCATTACAGTCGGTAGTCCTCCAACAGAAACAGACACTAGGACAGGCCTCAGTCACAGGTCCGTACATCAGATCACAGAGAAATAACGTCCACACAATAAGACTCATTTTTGGAATCAAGACGATCTCTTCCCCATGAATCCTTTATCACTTAGCAAACGTTTACTTCAGAAGGAGAATAAACTTCTCTGTGTTACTTTAATGCGGAAATATTTCTATGATGGTGTTTGTTTACCATACAGTGACGCTATCATTAAACATTTGTTAGTTTCATTTTAGATAACACTACGCATATAGACAATGCCATGTTACAACATGTATAAAGCATTCAATGAAACAAATGCAAAAAATAAACTGTAAATCTTATTTTTTCAAAAGATAAAACGGCATGATTTTATTGGAATATTATCAGGATATTAGGGGAAACCGTTAAATGCTGTTGATAAAAAATAACATTTTCCAGTGATTTTTTTTTTTTGGAAAATAAAACATTCTTTTAATGACAAGAATATTGCACGAAAGAAACGACAACGACGGACATTATGTACAAAGATGGTCCCTACTTATGACACCATTACAATATTATATCTAGAGGAGAAGATGCATGGAAAACAACTAAATATTTGATAAACTGGTGAACAACAACGGACTTAACAAATATAAAGAACAACTGGAAAAAATAAATTGACGACTGTTTTATTATTTGGAATTAAAGCAATGCGAAACTAACAGTAACATCAGCTAAATCTTATGTACAATCTAGATCACCCTAGCCTGATTCACTGTCCCTGTTATGCTTCGTATACTCAGGGTCACTTGGACCAGGTAGAGTACAATGAATTAAGGACGAAACTGCCCTGAATCTAAGCCCATTGTGACGTCGAATTTAGCTACGCTTCCGTTGAAGACGTTCATTGTGACGTCGTATTTTTCTACGCCGTCGATTTAATGTGTCATTTTACGTCGAAATTTAACGGCAGCGGTTCAAAAACCAATGATTAACCGCGCATTGTTCTGACCAATCAGAGAAAAACATGGAATGTAATCCACTTGGCTCTCCTGCCTTGGCAAGGATGAGACAGGGGGCTAGGCTATAGATTACCCCTACTAATGTGTTCGGAACTTTTTATTTTTTGGTATTCTGCAAATTATAAAACCTGATGAGTTTAGAGTAGCTCTAGCAGTGGCTCTGGCGAGAATTAGCGAGACTACAGCGAGATAGGATAAATTATTCATGGACATGTGGCTACACAATAGGATAAACGCAAAACCTGATAGAATTGTTTCAAAATGCGAAAAAGTTTTATGACAAAGCGAAAAGATTGTTTTGTTAAATAACTGCAATCTTTTAATTCAAATACTTGCATTTTGGAAAATTCATTTAAAAAAAAAATTGATTTTCTTTGAAATAAAGAAAAAAAAAACACCAGAAATTTGGAATTCCAACGAATTGGAAAAAATGAATTCAATTAAATTTGATAACTGTTTACAATATAAATAAGCATTGCATTAAATTTTAAACACTCAATTATATAATTCTGAATCAAACTGTAAATGTTGTGAACATTCTTATTAAAACTTACATAGTTTCCTTTCTTTTTTTCCAGAAAATTCAAGGAAATGACAAGAAATATTTAAAGAATGGTGTTATGTGTCGCTGAAAATGAATATACTCACCGTGTATTCTTTGTTTGTGTGATTTGTTAGTATAAAGAATGACGGCATGTAATTTTAAACATAATTTCTTTAAAAAAATAAGATAAAAAATCATTTTATTTTAGCAAAATAAAAATTCCTTTAACCATTTACGAGGGTTGTCCAAAAAGTTCGTGGACAATGACGTTTTTGTTAAAATAAATGGTTCTATATTCATCTATTGTATATGTATATCAAAATATTTATCATGAAAAACTAAGTCAGAATGATTTAATTTTTATTAGTGAAACTTAATATGTTTGTAAAAATCGGGATCTTTAAAGAGCGCATTTTGTGCGCACGGACCAGTCTGGCGTTAGGCTAATTTCATTATAACGTCAAACATTTGGATTTTGACTTAACATTTGTTCATGGACACACACTATATTTCTTTCTTAAGGTGTAACGCACTTCGAAGTGACAGCAATAATCTTAATTTATTTCATTTTTAAAATTCAAAACAATCTACTAACATTTACAAGCGTCATCTAAATAAACAGTTTGTATACTTAAACTGCACAGTCCAGACCGACGCTGCGCTAGATTTATAACAATGGCATGAATAAAAATCTCCATTTTCAGTAAATTACATGTGCTTTTAAATTCTTGCAGAGTCTTTGAAGTTGTACACACCGTTGAAATATCGCATATACCAATCCCAAATCGATACACTAAATATATGTCAATAAGTTTGAGTTGTTTTAACAAATATTTTGTCTCTTACGTCGTTTCAACCGTTATAAAACTTAATTTTTTTGATCGGACGCTGCCCCGTGCGGACGGCAGACGTCGCTTTTTCTGTTAAGTTTTGACACAAATTTGTTAGTGTTTTCTTTTAATATTTTCGTTGTCTTTATAGTAAGCGATACTTATTAAGATATCAAAAACTGATTATTGCCTCTTTATTTGTGTAACATAATTTATTTATTGATTTTTTACAAGTTTCATATAGAAGAGAATCATTTTATTTCGAACACTTTATATAAGAGTTTATATCATTTAAACCTTGGTCCGTGCGCACTTTTTGCGACCTTTAAAGACCCCGATTTTTCAGAAATATTGCCTTCCATCAATAAAAATTCATCATTCTGATTTGTTTTTTCATAAGAAATCTTTTGATATACAACAGATTTATATAGAATGCTTTATTTTCACGAAAACGTCATTGTCCACGAACTTTTTGGACAACCCTCGTACATGTAGATTTTAAATATTCCTGCAAAATATCACCGACGTACCCCAAAACATTATAATCATTTTCATAGTCTTGAAATCAAAACAAAAGTAGAATCTTAAATGGCACTTATATAGAAATCTTACAATTTCTCTGGTATCTTCAGAAATTTATTTAACAAAGATAGAACAAAAAACGCCCATGGCTTTTATATGTACCAAAGCAGTTGTGCAGCAGAAATCATTCAGTTTAGTATTGATGGTTAAACCTTCATACTCTGCGGTAAAGATAATTTGAACAAATTGCAATTTACACAACCAGTACGTAATGATTTATCAATATCAATATAGCAAATCAAGAAAAAGAAAAATGTTTTCCTTATTAATTTCAATGTAAAAGGCTCATTGCCCAATGGAATCTACCTGTCCCTTGGAGGTCATGATTTGAAGAAAGTTGAATCCACTCAACTGGAAGAAACTTCCAAAAAAATAAGACTAAACATGAGTTGTCTTTTATTCAGAAGAACATTAAAAAGAATTCTATTCTGATGTCAAGCTTAAATCGTCCACTGTGACACTCCCCCAAAGGATTATGGTTTGATCCATTTGAATCAACATTACCCGAGTCTGCGTCTATAAAATAAAAATATACAAAACAGCATCCAGGCTCAAAAACAATTGAAAGAATACCAATAGGGGGCAGGGATAAACAGACGATTAAAAGCAACAGTTGGATCAGGTTCCATGAAGGAGTAAGCATCTCCTGTTGAACATCCACATCTTGCTGCTTGTCATAACTGAGGGAATAAATATTTTTTAGATAACACGATGCTAAAAAAATTGCCTATGTATGAGTATGAGTCAATATATTATGAAAAACATGACGTCGACTTTGCTATTCTTTTAATTTAGGGAAAACCTTTTCCATATAGCCGTAAGCTATGCCACTCGTGAAATAAGTATTATCAAGAATTATCTTAATAAAAAAGTATATTTTAGACAGGTTCTCATCTAGCACGACTAAAGATTTTAAAGAAAATTGCGGGTCAGTGTGCATGATACTGAGCAATGGTTCAATTAACTTGACCTTTTTGCACTTACACTTTAACTCGTATGCTAAAAGCTTTTATTTCTATAATATTGTTACGTTTCACGAAGTTACCTTTGAAATTCGGGTTAACTCTTGTTTACAAATTCGGATTAAATGGACATTGAATCCGATGTTTATAAACTACGTAAATATTTGTCAATTAACGAAAGAAAAGAACATAATTGATTTAATGACTTTATTAATTTAACACGTATAATTTAATGAGAAAGTGGTGTATTTTGTATGTTTTATATGGGTACAACGTTATTAATTTAGTAGGTAATTTTGTTGGTCAAAACCCGCTAACTTATTGATTGTATTGATTGTGACGTAATAGGTATCTGATTGTCTCTTACGTCATCATAACAACTTTGGTTTATATAAACCAGCTGTTTTGGGTTTAGATTTCAGTCGGCTGTGGGGAGCGACTCGTAGCACACAGCCTTCCCTGGTTTGGGGAACGACTCCGTATACTTCGGTTATAAGACGGTACCAAGTCTATGTATACGAAACCATAAAGGGAACCACGTTTTTAGGAACGTCCTGGATTGACCATCGGTTGGTCACCTTATTGTTAACCAAATAACGTTGTACAAACCAAGTTACTGTGTACCATTTTGTGTGTTTACAAGTGAACCATTTGATCGTCTGAATGAATGTTATAAACTTTTAACAAGTGTTATTCCTAACAAACATTATTTAAAGTGACCAAAAATTGGTCATTACGTCAACCAAAGAAGTGACCAAAAGTTAGTCATTACTTCAACCAAATAAGTGACCAAAAGTTGGTCATTCCGTTTACCAATTAAGTGACCAAAAGTTGGACATTCCATTAATCAATTAAGTGACCAAAAATTGGTTATTAACTATTATATAAACAGTGACCGACGGAAACATCAAATTTCGACCAAATGACCAGAAAACTAATAACGGCCCACGAATTTATAACACGATACCCTCGGTCTCGTTACAATATTTTGTCCCATATATAATCATATTTTACGTAAATAGTATGAATAATATCAATCATCGAAGGAATCGTACAAATCAAATCTTTTTGCACGAAGAAGTATCATGTTTCGAGTATTCAAAATCCAAATGCAATACTGTATTACAATACAGTACAATGTGTTCTAGTATCAAGCTTTTTATTACTTTTGTGCCGATTTATTGGACGTACATTGTAGTTTAACATATTGAAAGAAAATGTATGGGTCAGTTATGAAAATTATGAGATATTCGTCAAATAATGCAATTTTCAGGCAAAAT